ATTGCATATTACCAAAAGAAAAAGAGTTTCGAGATGCACATACATAACCACACAATTTTTATCGTATGGAATAAATTGAACGATTCATTATATAAATGGAAGACCAAAATCGAGTTTGTATTTGCGATTTCAATATAAATGACTTGACTATTGGAAATATATTAAATAGTAAGAATATTCAACTTCTCACACTCTGTGTGAATTAATTTGATCTGAGAATATTTAAATGTATTTCTTGTCATAGCTCCAATCTTTTGGTAAGAAACCTTGTTTGTTTTTGACATGTGATCGTCTAAATCTTGAAGTGGACTCCCATGTGGATACAAACGCCAAATCGGGAGGGGACAATCTTTTACTTCATATGGCTGATTTTTTTTCTTATATTTCTTTCATATCCCACATACATCAAATCATAAGCAGAAATAGTAATAATATATTGTCCAATAACTCCATAAACTAAACCGATACACCTTAAATTTCCAAAAACTTTGCTTCATAATTTTTTTTATACAAACGACAATAATGAAAACCCAAAAAGAGATCACCACAAATTCATACATCCATTGACTCGTTGTATTTTAATACAAGCATTAAAATAAATAAATAAGCATAGTCAGAAAATGTTGTGAATCCAAGGCGATAAAGCAAAGAAGAAAAGAGATTGAGACGAAAATAGGGTTTCTTATTACTCGTGTGTTACAAAGAATAAAACTAAACTCCATATATATACATCTCAAAAAATCCGGTTTACTGACGTATCTGATTATAAGTCACTTAGATAACAGAAAAGCTCCAATTTCAAATTTTCTATGTCCTCAATGCATTTCAAGCCCTCAAGGCATTTGGAGACAGCCGCAAGAGGTAGAGACATTGTGACATGACTTCTCTTTTCGCCAGCTTTTAGGTTGATTGCAACGACTTCGCCACTCATGTCCACCAACGAACTGCCGGAAAATCCCTTGAAAAAAGAAGACATGAAATATGTCAAAAAAAGCATAAAATACAGCTCAATACAAGCAATTTTAGAGTGTATCTAGTTTGACAATGCATTGTCAATATTCGAACTTGAGCTCGTTTTCACAAACATTACAAGAAATGTTTAAACACGATAACAAATTTTTTTCATGTAGATACAACAATGAGCAAGTTTAGTACAAATCGATGCGACACGTGACTAATAGGATATTTGCGCCAAAACATTGAATTTTTTTTCGAAAATCTCATTACGTATAAGAAGATACACTCATAATGCAAATAAATTGTTTGCTCCATATCTAGATAACAGATGGGGTCCAGCTAGAGAAAACCAAAATCTCATTAAATATAAGAAGTTACACTCAGAATGCAAATAAATTGCTTACTCCATATCTGGATCACAGATGTGTCACAATGGCAGCAACACGGGCAAAAAACTCTATCATGTCGTATTCTCTCTCTCTCATAGTACGCAGTCGAGACTGTTGTTGTTACAACTGACCGGGAGGCTGCTGTTGCTGATTTGGAGAGCGAGGGAGCTGATGATTTTGAGCGCGAGGGTGCTGATTTGGAGTGCGAGGGTGGTGTTGCTGCTGGGAGGGTCGCTATTATAAAAATAAAAATCATGTTAAGACATTTGGAACACAAGTACAATGGAGGATAAATAGGAAAAGGAGCATAACACAAATATACCTGTGAATTTCAAGTCAAGGAGTTTTCTTCGTGATACTTAATGGCGAACCACTCGCCTAGCTTTCTGAAAGCAAGATTTCTCCTACTACATCCCAAACTCCGATAGAAGTCTTGCTCAGCGGCAATACCTTTGGTTTTCACCAAAATATCCATTAAAATCGCGTTTTATGACTGTATAACTTTCTTTTCTATATAATTACACTTGACACGATCTTGTTAATTATCACGTTTAAGCTATATCATCGTGGTTGAAATTGAAAAAAAAAAGGAAAAAGAGTTTCGAGATGCACATACATAACCACACAATATTCATCTTATGGAATAATTGAATAATTCATTATAGAAATGGAAGACCAAAATCGAGTTTGTATTTGCGATTTCAATAATGACTGACTATTGTAAATACATTTTTAAATGGTAAGAATATCCAGCTTCTCAAACTGTGAATTAATTTGATCTGAGAATGTTTTAATGTAATTCTTGTCATAGGAAACACATGGTGAAAGAGAAAAATGTTACAAAATATGATTCACGATTTCTTCTTCTCCCTTTGTGCCTCAAATCATCTTGAAGACAACTTCACAACTAATTGTTTCTTTCTCTTCCTTTGTGTCTAAGCCACAAGATGACATTCTAGACAAGGTTTCATGGTACTAATGAAGCACAAAAAGAAACACTAAGAGGAAGAACAATCTATATTATACACATAGTAACCGTTTCATTCATCAATTTATAAACACTTTATTCCATCCAAAAGCCATCNTTGTATGAGAAATCNATATCTTATCTNGTGGCGATATCATCTTTCTCAACGGTGAAATCCCAAACATCNCCNTACTTGTCATTAAAGTCCCAAATGNTCATNGTNTTGTAGTCATTAATGAGCTTNTCNCGAGCTCCTCTCTCNAATTTGTATATCTGAGGCTCGAAGTTGTGTGGCTGATCTGGTTTATCCATCTCTATTATACAGAACACTACCGTGAACAACGCCGCACCTATGAACATATACTCACCCTGCAACACACACACAAACACACTTGTGATCCTCCTCATACTTTGGCTCAATTAACCTCTAATTTTAGTGCATTTACGATAAGACCAGGAGCAGTAAAACTANTTTACTTNCCAAACAAGAGACATTTGACTAATGANAGATTCTCAATAAACAATCAAATGCTCAACTAAACACTACAANATCCATNATTTCAATAATGTGTTNGGGACAGACCGATAAATCCAACGTTCACTAACTAACTCTCTAACCAACTCACAACATCTATAATCCATTTTCAGTCCTATGCTACTGATAGTAGACCCATATAGCTAACACATGAGCAGCTGAATTGATCTACTGCTGAATTGATCTACTGTATCTTGGCTTATAGATTGCACAAANTAGCTCGAGTTTTTGGTAATTATGCTCCAATACTCAACAATACATGTTGCGTATGATGCAGTAATGATATTTTGTAAGCAAGCAAAAGATTTGAAGTGTTACCGGAGCCTCAAAATACATCCCTGCAGCTATAGCAGGAAGAAATATCCAAGAGATAAGCCCTGCATATACAACAACAAGCGAGTTTCGAATCAAACCAAGAACAAAACATAACCCCAATAAGAAACACCAAAAAGGAAATTTCTTGAGTACTACCTTGAAATCCAGAAGGAGGATCTACACCAGCCATGTCATCTGCAAGTGCTTCCAAAAATGTTTCTAACAAAAACATTCAAAAACTCAATGTTAAAAATCATATGCCTTAAAAAAAACCAAAACAACAAAAACAATAAGAGACTTAAAATTTTACTCTTTTCAACTTCTCCTTCATAGTAAGTATGAGCACCATCGTAATACCCATACTTGAAATCTTCCTGATAACAACAAATCAGTAACGAAATCATAAACACACACAAAAGAACAAATCTTTTCACCAAATCTGAAATCCCCACATGAAAAAATCAAATCTTTTTTACCATTTCGATACTGTTAAGCTCGAATTGACCAATTGGATCTTCGTTGATGTCTGGCTCGATCGGCGACAATCCAGCCGATGAGACAAGCTTCGCTAACTTCAATCTCCGACATGAGTTGTTGCCGTACGATACGACATTGGGAGAGAAACCCACGGTCTGATCAGAAACCCTAACTCCGAATTTCGAATCGATGATCTTTGGAATCGATTTTGGTGAGAGAATTGTGACCGTTGAATTTATCGTCGCCATTTTTTTTCCTTCGCTTTATCTTCTCAGGAAAAAAAATCCCCGCTTCTTTTTTTTGGTGTTTGTAAAAGACAGAGAACAAAGGTTACTTACTGTCTGTCATATTACCAAAGTGACTAACAATTCCCAAAACAGCACGTGGCATATAACCATTTGTATGTCTTTTCTTAATTGGTTTGTGAATGCTTCCACGTGTACNATAAAATCTTACTGTATAAAACTCATTCAAAACGGCCCAACTTTATCAATAANTGGGCCCAATTTGGGTCGTTGGTCCAAATTTATAATATTTTTTTATAACATATTTTCAGTATTTACAAACTATAATAGATTTATATTCAGGTGTATATCTTCAGTATTCCTTTTTAAAAATAATAATAAAATGTATACTTANTGATCAACCAACTAGGGCGACAATTCGGATCCAAAAACCAAAGTAAAATAAAATAAAAACAAATCGTTGACTTTTCATTGACCAATTTAGTCAAAATCGGAATGTTAGAATGGTTTTGACCATCTATTAATTCAANCTAACGCAAAGTTTGTTGTTAAATCCAATCTAACTATGTACATATCATAAGAGATCTACTTGCTTTGGTCGGTTTAGTTGTGTAAACAAGGTCAAATCACTTCATTAAATTAGGGGTCAACTAGATAAGAATCATTAACAAATAGTGATTTTGAGCGCGAGAGTGCTGATTTGGAGCGCAAGGGTGGTGCTGCTGCTGCTGATTTGGAGTGAGAGGATGCTGATTTGGAGCACAAGAGTGGTGCTGCTGCTGATTTGGAGTACGAGGATGGTGTTACTGGTGGGAGGGTCGCTATTATAAAAATAAAAATCATGTTAAGAGACATTTGGAACACAAATAATACAATGGAGGATAAATAGGAAAAGAAGCAGAAGAGACAAATTTACCTGCGAATTTCAAGTCTGAAAAGGAGTTTTCTTCGTGACACTTAATCATGAACCACTCGCCTAGCTTTCTGCGAGCAAGACTTGTCATACTACATCCCAAACTCTCATAGAAGTCTTGCCCAGCAGCAATACCTTTTGTTTTCACCAAAATATCCATTAAAATCTCATTTTCAAAATCTGAAAGTGGCATCTGTTTTTCTCTCATCCATTGGAACACCTACGATGGGTCAAAAAAACGAGGAATATTAGAAACAAATCGATAAAATATGTGTGATCATTCATCATCAGAACAAACCCAAAAACTTAACAAAATCTGAAGAATGGATTATATGCATTAATGGAGTACTAAATTACAGCAGAATGCGAAATCCAAAATGGCAATGATTTACACAGAAACACTGCAAAAATAGAAACCAGTCGACACAAAGATGATGATTCAACATCAGAGCAAACCCAAAAACTTAACAAAAATGTGAAGAATCAACGGAGCATACGCAATGATTCACATAGAAACGCCATGAAAATCGAGACCTCATCGATTCATCATACTAATCAGAGCAAACCCAACAAAACCTGAAGAATCGATGATTATACGCACAAATGCAGCAATAACTTACAGAATGCGAAAATCCAAAAGCAATTATTCACACAGATACACCACGAAATCCGAAACCAGTCCCGAAATAGATAATACAAACGAACAAGAGATGCTTACTGTGAGAGCAGCCTCATGGTGGCCGATCTTATCCAGATGTCTGGCGGATCGAACCAACTTCGCCTTGGACAGATCCTCCGGATTTTCAGCTTCCAACAACTGTCGGACGCAACCCCCGTCGTTGCAGAGCCTAGTTAACCTCGTCGGAGTAACAAGCGTGGATTTCCCTCTGAATGTCGCTGGAGAGGACATCATCGGCGAAGAAGCCGCCCTGAGAAGAAAACGGATCATTCTCATAGATGAAGATTAGGGTTTTCTTCTTTTTCGTCGTTCGCTTTTCTTTCTCCTTCAAGCGTTGTCTTTTAGTTACATCTTATCCGAAGCATCTGGAAGCATCGGGCAGCTTTCATTCCTAAAACGCAGCGTATTTGGGAAGCTTTCATTAGAAAACGTGCACATCTGATTGGTAAAAGAAAAACATTTCTTCTCAAAACATTTGGGGCCCACCAAACACCAATCAGACCTGTATGTTGAATATAACGTTTAGACCATCACGTTGGAGACCAAATATAAATATCTCTAAATAAAAAAATATTAAAAACACACTCTCTCTTTCTTTTACTCAACTTTATACCTTCTTTTTCATTTTTTTACTCAACTTTTATTAATTTTATATTTAAACACATTCCAACTTTCATCAATTTTCTCTCCAACTTTGTCTTCCCCGAGACATCCTCTCTCCAATAATACCCATTATCTTATCTCTTTACTCAAATTTTCTTAATTTTATATTTCAATACACCCCATTATTTCAACCAAAAACACTCTCTTTCTTCCTTTTACTTAACTTTTAATAATTTTATATTTAAAGACACATACAAAATGTCTCCAATGTGGATGCTCTTA